TTAGAACTGTTCTTGTTCCTAGCAAGAACAGTATAAATAACGTTCTGCCCCCTAAAAGGAGCTAACAATCTAGTGTAAAGACTTAAGTATAAACACACATCGGAAATAATGTGTTCAATAACCTACAGCATCTGTTCAATATAGAAAAGAGTACTAATGAGGCAGAATACAAGATAGCTTTGTGTTACAAGGTTATGCATGTTCTACATGAATGTGTTCTCATGAATACGAAGCAACAGAAGTTGTAAAAGCACAAAAAACGTATTGCAGGTTGATGTGTGTGTTCCTGGGCTGAGATAAGTGATAAAGCAGTAAACATGTTCAATCACTGATAATCGAATGCTTTTGCATTTAAATACTTGGCCTAATTCAATCAACTTAAACTTCAGGTGTTCCCCATTACAGGTAAAACTACTTATATATTACAGTCATGACCATACTTCTATTTCCATCCTAAATCCAAAACAACTGCTAGTATCCATATAGAATTGAAAATCACCTAATTCCTAAGATAGAAAGTAAATAATAAGGGGCCAATAAAAAGTGGTAAGTTACTTGAACAGATATGCATTCTGCAAGTCATCCCATAAGAGGAGAATGGTGAAGGACTTAAGAATCTTTCAGAGGGGAAAAAAACATAGTAACACATTACTGCTTACTTTAGGAGATACAGCATTAAGAATACAGAATAGGGAACTTATCCTAAAAAAAGAGAAAAAAGAAAAGAGAAAGCAGGACTACAATTGGTTGTGCCTAGGTTGAAAATGAGAGCCTACCTCCAAACTGCTTGCATGGCCAACTACATACAAACGTGTCCTATAATCTAAAATTGGGGGAAAGAACAATGAATACAATGGAAAGAAGTTAGATTGATCTTAAACTGTGTTTGAAAAGTCTGTGATTAAGTATGCAGGGAAACCCAACAGGCACTAGAAAACATGATCTAGAGTTCAGCAGGGAGATTTAAGGTGAATGTTCAGAAGCAGCAGAACCTGCATGGTTGCTGGAACAATCCCAGTGAGAAATGGCTCAAAGAGAACCTAAGAGATTCAAAGAATAGAAACAAGCATGGAATGTGACAAAACAATAATATTCAGAGTTTGAGGATCATGAGAACAGATGAAGACTTTGGGGGATGGGGGGTACCAGGGATCAAACTCGGGTCCTTGCACTTGAGAGGAAGGTGGCGGAAACACTGAGCTAAATCCTCGGACCCAGATGAAGACTTAAAATATTGATTCTAGGGACAAAGAAAAGTTCAGAGAGAAGGTGAGCGAATCCCAGCAAGCAGGAAGAGGCTCCCCCGCCGCCATTCCACATTCCTAGGGCAGAGAAGGTGAGCCAGTCCCAGCACCCAGGAGGAGGCTCCCCCGCTGCCATTCCATGGTCCTAGGAAACAGAAGGTGAGCCGTGCGGGTGCCAGAATCACTGCCCCTGACCCGTGGAAATGAGAAGACACGTAAACAAGCCTCAAAAACAGACTTCCAGATCACCTACAGCAACCCCAAAGGGAAA